ACGCACATCCCAGAAGATTATCGTCAACATACTCGCCGTAGTAGGGCCCTTAAATCTCACTTAGACCTATGTGAAACAATGTTAATTAAGTACAACATGCAGGGTGGGTAGCATCAGAGAAACACTCGTGATACTCTTGGAATCTGAGTGTTAAGACCTGTTGAGTACACTACACAGTATATTTACTTAACTGTCTGTCTTGCACCGTTGTAGATTATGAGGCGAGATGTTGGAAATTGAAGCCAAGAACTTTACTAATCAACGTCGCCTGGCCTCAAGGGAGAAACTACTTAGGACATGTATACATTTGGGCGGGGCGAGAATGAGTATAAGGCGGTCAACTGGTAAAGACGTATTTCCAATGGCAACGATGAGGTTATCAGAATTCGGAGTATTTCTTGGGAAACTTAATGACTGTTTAAGTGCTTACGCCAAGTAGTTAGATGTTATCTTCGTATTCATTCTCTTCATACAGACATTGTCTGTCACTGCAGGGAAGATCATACTTCTAAGACGTAGGATAATAAATAACAATTCAGTATTAAAGAAGTAGGGTTGAGGGTGTGGAATGGATTTAAGTAGCTAGGATGGCTGATTCTTATAAGCATAACAACGGTATTCGAGTTACATAAAAGCAGCAAATGTTTTGTCCTAGTGAGAAATTGTTGACTACTTAAGGACGCTGAAGTTAAATATTAAAAATCTTACGTAATAGACGAAGTCATGAGTTCAATGTACAGAAGTTGTCTGTTCGTTTGAACAAGAACTTTTGGACACCGTATGTAGGCAGCACGTGCTTTGTATTGTCACGTTGATTGTGTAACCTCTTTCAATTAAAACTTTCCGTAATGTGTTGTCTCCTTTTATTGATGCAGTCAGTAAAACACAACGCTTTTATGTATTAAAAATAGCTTTTTAAGATAATTTAATTAATAAAACTGTTATTTGAACACGAATACCTATTGCTTTATCAGAATTTCCTTCATTTGTCATTTCGATATTATCAGAATTCTGATTTATTGTGTTACTGAGTTCCTCTACATTGTTCTGTCTGTACACACTCCTAATAGAGCATTCACTCACCTCCGTGTGTAACCTGGATATCAGCACTGCCTCGTGTTTGTTTATTCAAGTTTCTTGAATTTACTCCGAGTGTGTTCTGATGCCCGTATAAGCTACATCATGTCCAGTTTCCTAACTACAAGCAAGTCTATCGTAACTTTCCCCACATCCTTACTTGAAATTTTAGTTTGTGCTTTGTTTGATTTTGCACATACTGTATACCATAAACCTGGCGTTTATTGTTCTTGATACAAGGTTTCAAGGCGGGTCTGTCAGTTTCATTTCCAGAGCCAATACAACCCGCGGGCCATTGCTTTCACTTCCATTATGTAACGTGATCTCAGATCTCCTGGGAGTCATGCTCTCTCTCCATGAATGAACAGCTACTTGCAATTGGTTATCCAAAATTCATGCCTGTTTCTGCCTACGTTCTTTGTTAATCTTTAAGGAACACATTTTACAGAAGGAAAGGTTATAGGCATGATAAAGATAAACCATGAATTGGATCGAATGGTTTGTAGTAGTACTTCTGTATCAGCTCAACTGCGTCGCCTGTTAGGTCTTAGACAAAAACCAATAATACTGATCCTGACGACGGTTCTATGGGAATAGCTTGTCACATAAAAGAGACAGCTCTGCCCGCGCGTCCTCGTTATGTAGACGTCAGAATCGTTTCATATTTGAGAAAACAAAGTACCAACTCAGCACAAAGCATTGCATTATATGTCGGCGCACAAAACATAGAACCCAAAGACATCATCTCTGATTTAGTTTCTATTTATTTGGCATTAACATTAAATTCAGAGCTGACTCAAAGAATGAAATCGTAGAGACACGAACATATGTGTTCATACGTTTTAAAATAGCAATTATAAAGCCTAAATGCACCATTTGAATACAAATCATAGCAGTTTAATAAAAGGGATCAAATGGACATAGTCTATAACAGTGTCTGTAGCCTATGACGATGATAGTTGCCATAAAATTTTACTAAAATGGAAAAAAAACCATTGTTTAACTTTGGCAATATTTACTCAAGCTTTAATAAAATACTTTGGGCGGATCATACCTGAGAAGATGATAAAATACTTTGGGCGGATCATACCTGTAGTAGTAGTATCATAGTAGCCCAAATGGCCAGCCTATCTGTTGAAATTCTATGCGATTTCACGACATAATTTTGAAAATTTTTACATGTAATAAAATCCAATTACACGCTCTGTGCGATGGAGAATGTCTATTTCGGAGACAGTAGAGTGTCGTACTAAGTAATGTTCTGAAATGTCCTTACGTCTACAAAATAGCGAGGATGTAATTGCTTTCTAGAACCGCATTTTAAACATATTTTATGGGCGTGCGAAGTTTTACGCCAAGAGCAAGTAGGTTACTCTGTTCTCGATCAAGTACCTGAACCCGATGAAAGCGAAACTAAATATTGTGTTTCGAAGCATGATTCAGCCATCGTTTAGAGGTGCCATTGTCGAAATCGTGACTTCGATGAGAGATCAATAGAACTTAACGATTTTCAATAATTCTGCCCAAATATCGTGCCTTTAATTAGGAGTGCAGGTCTGTGTTCTTGCACATGTATGGCATTTTGAAGGAAACTTCTTTGAATCCTGCTTTGTACTGCGCACTGGCTGTCGTTAACACGGAGAATCCCTGGTTTTCGTCTAAGTTCGCAGAGCTTCAGGTCTCTCGCCCTCGTACGGCAAAGGGTCCACAAGTTACAGGGTCAGTAATTTCTGTTGCAGGTCTGTTTTGTCCCGGCACCTTCGACGGCTGGTCGTGTTGGCCAGAGACGCCCGCGGGATCATCCGCACATGCGCCGTGTCCAGATTTTGTCACCGGATTTGATCCGACCCGTGAGTGAATCTTCTTGCATTTCATGTAATCTTTTAAAGATACCAAGCAGCATAGCATAGCTTCACCCTACGGCCCCTTCATGTCTGATATATGGTTTCCTATTATTATTGGGTATGAGGGTATGTTGACAGCATATTAATGTTTTATATCTCTTCAATTGAATTTTCTGCTATACGCATAAACTTCAGGCTTATTTAAGATACATAGGTCAGATTAATTAATGACAATGTGGCGAATGTTTTATGTGACTTGGGTCGATCATAAATGAACAATGGGATGAAGGTTAGGTTAAAGCTGAAAGCCGTTATATTATAGATTATTTTTCAAGACCGTTATGGATTACATTATCAGCCTCTTTCTAACTTTAGCCCAGCATATCCTCAGCAGATAAATAATTGGTCCATTTGGCACTTTTTCGATCCGTGCTGTCCAAGCCGTCTTGCAGTGATCAATAATTTAACATTCCCAATCAAAGTATAAATATATGCGTGTATGCATATCCGTTTTCGTGCGTTGCGGGGGGTTTCAGCATTCGTTCCGTACTCTTAAATCCTTGAGGGAGATATTTATGCATTCGGCGCGGAAAAGGGCGCCCGAAATGCTGCTGGCGCGGTATGTGCAATCATCGTCATCGTTCCTAATGGCTCCTGGGGCAGAGGGCCGCGATGTCTGTGAACTGCAACACTTGTTTGACTACATAGCCTTCAGCACGAACAACGAAATACAAAAGTCATCTCACAGTTTATGTAGAACAAAGAAATTTAGTTTTAAGAAGACTATTTTACGATATATTGTTCCGTGTAATCTGGTAGTACAAATGTTTCAGAGTAGCTTATTACCTCCATCATCAGGGCGATGTTTTACTGGCACGTTATCATAGAGGCGGTTAGAAACATAATGTTCTGTTTGGTAAACATTGGATTATTTTGGCTTGTGTGGTGTCAGTTATTTCAACAGACTCTTAATACTGTCAGGTCTACCAGGAATAATTTCAGTAGATGTATCAAAGGGATTACGGTAGAACCTGACATAAACAGCTGTTGTATTTTTCATAACCCAGCCTCTGTAGAGGCGAGAATGCAACCTTGTGGGAAATCCTATAAATAAAAAATGAATCAAGAATAAGCGCATCTCCAGACCGAGACTGTGAACTAACAAGAGAAAATCTCGTTCCTTCTCTTGCCTTAAGGCCGACGGTGGAGTCAGTTTCAACAGATTTCCTCTTCGGTTTGTGGCTTCTGAATCACAGAGCACGAGTTATGTAACGTCTGGGCTGGGGAGATAAAACGAATCCATGCAGAAGTTACTTTCATGATTTGAAGCAAGTGAGAAATCTGTTGAACTCCACCTCGAAAGCAATTGCTGGCTGCTGGGTGTTCTAGAATTATCTGTTGCATGCCCAGAGTTTAATTATGTCTTACCACGCATTTTAATTGTAGCTGTTGTCCACCATCAAAAATGCATCTACAAGACCTGGAAATATGTTATCTATGTTTCTGTGCAACTGCTCTATAGCAGTACTGATAAGAGAGCTGTCTTCTGGGTTGTTGCGCCTTGTAGTCTTAAACGTCGGTAATCTTCTACCAGAAGACAGCCATATTCAGTTTTTATTATAATTGCGGCAAGTGCTTTATTAAAGCTGTGTTTTGTTGGTTCGTAAAAGCTGAGAAGGAAAGAAATTGGTTCTTTGCGTTTATTTTTCGTCACTTCCCGCGCTATCGGTTCATTGTCCAATCACTAGAACATGTTTCGATCCGATATGGCCATCACGAGTTCAATTACCTGCTTTTATACCATTTAACTGGGGATCGATTTTCCTTCTTCCGATGTCAGGAACAATGATAAAGTTCTGTGTTAAAACTTCTTAAATTAATTACAACGATTAAAGAGTTTAAAACTGTCACAAGATGTCATAAATGCCTCAAGTTTTCAACTTTTTACGCGCAACTTGGTGAGAAATTGGTGCCCACACTCTTCAGAAATATTGCTGGAAGAACTTGATATTTCGGAAGAATGCAGGCTGGCGTTGGAGCTTTGGTACTCCAGTACGAATCGGAAACAAAACGCTATATCTCTGATAGAAACTTTCAGAAGTAGAAGACTGGCGAATATCATACTTCAATAGCGACAACGGCGCCTATGAAAGTCCACTATCTGTATCAGATCAGTTTTCATCATTTCTGCGTGTAGAATTTCTGTTATGTGACAGTGTTCTCATCTGGTATTCAGCTTGAAACAGTAGTGCAACCGTAAAGTGAGAGTACTTTCACAGGTAGAGAGAACAAGCGTCGACCTTTCGCTGCTGTATTTACAAATGCAAAAAGATGATATAAAATGGCAAGTATCGCTATATATATTGTCACGAATCACTGGAAATTATAATGTCGTAGCTACTCCATATTTTAAGCTAAAATCAATTGCACTCATTATTCGTAGAGCTTTAAATAATTAAAATCGCGAGCTTAAACTTCGCCTAAATATTGGTTGTCGTATGTTTACCAAACCAAGTGTTCTTATTGGTCAACCCGCTGCTGCAGAGATTCGAACGCTGGCTAGAACGAATCCTATTGCAGATAGTGGTTGAAAATTAATGAGTGTTTGGTCTAAACACTCATTACGAAGACAAAGTGTTGCTCCGAAACTTTGGTATCTACCAACATGTCCACGTGGCGTCACCAACATCGACATTTTTACAGCCACGAGGACCTCTGTTCTTGGAACTGATGTTCAAGCCATTTATTGTAAAATGAGATTGTGGGTACAAGCATAAGCTGGAACCCCTGATGGAATGGACTCTCGTCCCTAGCGCTGCACTCTGTGAAAAACGATGGGGCGCCAACTCTCGTGTGATGCAGGGGTGTACAGAAGTGTTTGTGGGATCAGTACACATTGACTGCTGGAGACAGGAAGAAACAGAGAGGAGGAGAGTTCTTAAGCATTTTATGATTTATGTAAAGTAACAATCCGATAGTACACCGGAAAGTTTAAATACCGGTATTACTAGGTCCTGCCACTGATCACAGTCCTAAGACAATCACATACGTCTGCGAACTCACATCCTGTCTTCTGGATCTCCGATGTGATATTATCTTTCAATGTCCTCTCGGTCTTCCAAGTGAATTCTTTACAAGAAATTTCCCCCTTATCAATCCATATATAGTACATATTTCATATCTAATTCTTCAGGGCTTTACGGTCTTAATTTCTTAATGATCCTGTTTCAATCCTAACCAGTGTCCTGGAAAGCATCCAAGTTTCTATCCCCTTTAGCGGCAGGGATTATTTCCTGAGCCACCACGCCCAATCCGACCTCCTGTACGGTGGATCTAGATTTCTTGCCCTGACGAAAAGAGGGCATCTGACAAGTCGCATCCAGCTGCACTCGGAAGGCGTCTCACGGATTTTATGTCGTTTGGTTAATCCATATTTAGTCTGTTTGTGGAACGGATTAGCTGTTTGTATTTCGGAATTTTCCCATACAACGGTGTGCAGTGGTCAGGGAGATCAAGGGGTCTATTTATGGACTTTGAAGATAGTCGCAGATTATAGGATCTTACATACATATATCTTTATTACATTCCATGGATCCATAAGTTAGTCAGACACCATAGGCCACTTTAGAGCAATGCATAACATTTATACGTGTTATAGGCATTTTTATTTGCAGTTGAACAGCGTCGTTAAACAACAATTTTAGGCACCATCTCACCTTAATACTGACATCGATGTTTTCCCTTCGAAGTAGACTGAAGCTTTGTGTATAAATCCGTGGGAAAAGTGATGTATCGAGCCGAACTCACAAGTCAGAGCCCGAAGTTGACTGTGAGTGTGCTAAGGATTCTTTTTCTTGTCTTACAGCAAAAGAAGTTTAAAATGCGTGTATGTGGCGCTTCGTATCTCCTGGGATTTGCCGTCCTCCTCCTGTAACTTTAGGTGCAATTTCTGTGGCAAACAAGACGCAGAGGAAACGAAACGAACTCGCGTGGTTTCTGCAGACGCCGTCAGAAAGAGACATTAGTTTGATCCCACCTCGTAGCATTTCTTACTCACCCTTTT